AGGTCGGAAATTAACCCACGATAATGGCGGACCGTGGCACACCACCGGCACACGTGGAGTAAAATAACCGGCTGTAAAAGGCACAAAAATAATTTTCAACAATAATTAATTATATTCACAAGGCGGATGGGTCTAAGGCACACAAACTGCGCAAAAAAATGACCAAACCAAACCAAAGCAAGCTCCGGGCGTCAGCAGGCAGCAGGCGCCATAAAAGGAAGAGGAAGGGAGATCACTCCGTGGCTCTGTCATCGAGATATGGGTTACGTCACGGTAGGGAGGTAGGGATATTTGAATCTTTTGTTTTTGGGCTACAAAGATGGGTGTAGGTATTGTATATGCATACTAAAGTTATGGTAATTATTACTGAAATGAAAAGTTATATTGATAATGTAGTATGGGACAGAAAATTATACTAATAATGTAGTATGGGACAGAAACTTATACTAATAATGTAGTTTGGGACAGAAAAGTATATGAATAATGTTTTATGGGACGGAAACTTATACTTATAATGTAGTATGGGACAGAAAGGTATATTGGTAAAGTAGAAGAGGACAGAAAGGGATAAATAATATAGGTAATGAAGAAATGGATAGAAATGGGTAGCAATAATGTATTATGGACAGAAAGGGCTCCATTTTCTGTCAATAAGATCCTTTGGGACCCTCTATAATTATAACAAATCATACAAAGCAAACGCTCTTTGTAGAAAATAATAAAAAAAACACTTTGAAACTTTTGAAATAATTATTCCAAAGATCTGGATCATCCAATGACACGCATTTTCTAGATTGTAGACGGTCACGAAATCTAACATTTCTCTTTTCGATAGTCATGCATATTTCACCGGACTAGTAGTTCCTAATTGAGCATAATGATTTGATTAATAGTATCATTGTGGTTTAAAACAATCTTCCTTTAATTATATTAGCTTCACATTTGCATATTCTAAAAACGAAACAACGATGCTAGAAAAAAAACAGTCTAACCCCTCATGAATTCGTTTTAGCATATTTTACTTGTTCATAGCGGGCACAAATCTTTGCAACTTACTAGGTTCTCTCCCGACATGTTATCTTCAAAATATTGGTAACCCGAGATCACTTTAAACCTAGGCTTATAATTGATATGAAGTAGATAAAACAGAGAAAAGAAACTGTGGATGTGTTTGTTTGTAACTGAAAGATATGCATCACCTCATAGAAGAGTGTCGAAATGAGAGACTGGCTGAATACCAAAATTCGTAAGACTATTCAGCAATCCTATTCGCTGATTTCAAAATTTGATATACATAAACAATGCATTTTATTTACCATCATCGGAAGAGCGAGAACAATAAAAACAAATACTTACGCAGAATAAACCACTTTAAGATCACTATTGTTAGTTCTTATTCGTGACAAAGATGGAAAGATATCGGTTCCTGTCATTAAAACGTCCCACTATTTGGTATGTTGTGACTGAGATCGTAATGACTTGAGACTTACTTTATAATTTGTATGTCGCCTGTTTTTCATTCTAATATTTACGTATAAATCAAAAATGATTTAACATATAATTACGCAAAAATGTTGTTATTGTGAAATTTTGGATAAAAAACAACATTATCCAACATTTAAAACATAGAATTAAGTCGATACTGCCAACTGTTTCGGGAGATTCGACAAACTCAATATGTTTGTAAAGCATCCTACTTAAAAATTAAGGATTGACCTTCATTTGATGGGGTATTCCGTATGCGCCGTCAAAAGGAAGGTCAATCCTTATATTTACATCATAAATTATGTTCAAATGCAATACACAAAAAAAACCAGACCAATCAGGTTGCTCCGATGGCAACTATGGTAACCGTGGTTGCTAGGATAAAAGAGTTCCAGTGAATTTACATCGATACATGGTTAAAATTAAAAAATAATCAGTGAACAACACTATTTTCCCTGTTTTGCTTGTTCTGCAACGTGATTTTGTGTCACATTAAATTTACCATTATAATTAAAAAGCATTCCTAAGTGATTGAACTGATTAACAACTTGCAGCTCTATATTATCATATAACCACTTTTCGTTATTCCGTATTATGCCACCATTCCTGAAAACTACTATTTTCGTCTTTTCTGTATTTAATGTAAGCTTACACTTGTTATTATATACTTTCAGAGCATCCATAACTTCCTGTAGTTTTTCTGGTGTTTCTTGAAATAAAACCATATCGATGTTTAAAATGGTTAAAAAAATTGTCAAGAGAAATTTTGTGAGATACTTTAGATTTTCGTCTTGCAAAGTATTGATGGAGATGTTTCGGATTGTGTCTACGCAGATAATCCATCACCTTCCTGTCTCCGATATTCCCTCCTGAGTCTCGATTCAGATTTTTTGTAATTAGTTTTTTTCTCTATTAATATTTGATGATTTTCGACAGTTTTGTTACTACTGAATGAGTGTAAAGCAGTTTTGTATGCATTGTACCTATGTCTACATGGGAACTTAAACCAAGGTTTATCCTCATCCGCAATAGCTTTGCTGCTATGACGTTTTGTATCATGAGATGGTTTACAACTATGTACATCGCACATTGGCAAAATCATTTCATTTATAAATGAACTGAGTTTGTCAATGCATACTCTACATCTGAATTAATCAATGAAGGCGAGCAGAATATTTCACTCAGTACTTCCTCATTATCATTCAAATTCTGTCTGATAGAACTTACATTATCATCATTCCATTTTACATTTTTACATGCACACCTTACATGACGTTCATTTTCATGCAAATCATTATCCAAGCTCAAATCAAGCTTAAATTTAAAAATTACAGGCTAGTGATCAGACACAGTTTCAAATTTACCTGTATTGAATTGTATTATGTTACGAAAGTTCTCACCCTCCAATAAAAGATTGTCAATAAGACTGGTACCATTAGCACTGAAAAATGTAAAACTTCCATCGAGATCATCAGAGTGACGTCCATTCATGATTCTAAATCCAGTTGACTTACAGTGATAACAAGTTTCTACCGAAAGAATTTACAAATTTGTCCATATTTGTGCGTTCTTTTATATCATATACATCATCATATTGGTAATCAAAAGCATCAAATAAATCATTAACTTCGTTACTTAAAACGTCATTAGTTATCATGTCAGATCTGGTACCAGTTCTAGCATTAAAGTCTCCTGTTATGTACACTTTTCCATTTGATTTATATTTTATAATTGAATCTTGCAACGACTGGAATAAATCTATTTCATCTAAATTGTTTTCATAAAAAACACTATTTTCTGGAGGAAAATAACAGAAAACAATATATGTATCAGAATCTCTGGAGCTATTTTCCAGTTTTAACCTTATTATACTATCATACATATTTTCAACAACAGATATCTTGTCTTTAAAACAGTTCTTGTAGAAGATAACTATACCTCCACCTATCCCAGTTTTCCTAGGAAATACATGTTTACAATACCCGTCAAGTTCAATTTCATCGTTGACAGTTATCCAGCATTCGCTTAAACATACAATGTCATACTTTTGAATAATGGAAAAAAAGTCTCTATTACTAAGCTTGTTCCTTTGCTGAAGAAGGTAGAAGTGTAACTATTCCAACATAACCCCAGTGTTTTAATTCTTGGTCTAAATCTTTAACCAATAAGTATCCATTGAAACTCCAACAATCCACTTTAGGTTTCCATCCGACAGTGGTACTGGTACATCTCGAGGAAGTGTTTAGATAACTCATGGACTCTACTTCACTGAAAACGGCAATATAGCATCTACGGTCATATGTTTATTTAACATCGTTCCATACCAACAGAGCGCGGTCAAAACAAATATTTGCTGATGACAAGTGAAAGTATCATACATGTAGGGAATACGCGGGGAATCGTTTGACTACCAAACGTCTGTTTCCAGTATATGGCACAATTAAATTATCCGTGTAATTGTGACAGGGACATATTTACACCTGTGATTTAGCCATTAGTACGAGACCCTTTTGCCTGTGTTCTAGATGAAACATACACACACACCTGTGTTTACATTCAGTGCATAACAATATACGTACCCCGTACTCGTACATTCTTGGCCATATTTGTCACAGAAGCGGCACCACTTCATGGAGTACGACTGCACTAGCAGGTTAGATCCTAATATGATGACTGAGTTAGAAACAAAACTGTGACGTCAGTACTTGTTTGTGTCGGGGACACACATTGGCTGACATGATCCGTGTGAGGTGTAGGAATCAAATTTAACATTTTGACTGACCCTCGGTATTTCGGATTGGTAGAATCGACTCTATTGACAGCTGATACCGTTTTGACAAATAAATGTCATACGTGTAACAATAATACTTAATAGAGAACCACGACTATAAGGTAACAGCTTTTTAATGTCGAGTATTTTCATATAATACAACGTACCATATGTAAATGTTGAGAATTGACAACCTAGTGGACGCGCTATGACGTTACATGTCAAGTGTAGTGAAACAGACATGAGACGATTGCCATGTGAAATACCAATAGTACAAAATGAACAGTATGTATATGTAAAACTTGTTTTTATTGTAAAGTGTAAACCTTGACAAACCATTAAATTTGAAAGCCGTTCTAGGTTATTACTTTTTGTAATTTGACCACCCGTTACACACCTGCAGTAGTGCTGTAGTTGTATCTCTCACTATGGAGTTAGTGTCAGGATTAGCATGACGAAACGGAATTTGAGTACATATGTAACCCCGTGACTCCATTAGATAAAACATTGACATGTAAACCTGACCGCTTCACAATGAACATGCAATATAACGTTTGTATTTTGATAGGGACCGTTGGTTTAAACTCTAGACAATCGCTAGAGAAACATGATTTGTGTTAGGTCGTTATCGGATGACAGACTTACGTACCGTCAAAGGGAGGTGACATTATGTTTACGCTTGTCAATGGTACCCTGCGTAATTGGACGTATTTTATACATTGTCATCGACAATCACTAGGCAACGATACTTTAGTGATTAGTGGAATATTACCGTATCTTCTGTTTGACATTCAGGTTCTGGTATGATTTGTAACTTACCGTTACCGTTCGAAAGGGAACAAACTTTTTTATCATCATGATACTGCGATATAAATTAAAACATAAAGCATTCCTAATCAAATACACTGGGAATAAGTGTTGTAATTAATAAAATATAATTCACGAAAATGAAGGCCCAATTATCGATGTTTTACTGTTAGCTATTGCCTATTATACTTATATTTAAATACAAAAAAAATATTAATAGCAATTAACTGCAGAAGATGAATTAATTTATCACACACCAACTTATTAACTGACAGGTCAATTCTGACGGTAATCAAGAAATCTATATCCGTTTTCAGGTAGACTAGGCATTATGATATCGAAAACCAATTCATACCCTCCACTTGTAAAAAAATTTAGATGGATTGTAGTTGTTAAATTCAATATGAAATCGGAAAATATTATGTCCTGTAAAAAATAAACTCATAAATATTACTGTTAGGTTATTTACTAAAACACTACCGAGACATTTAATGTGGAATATATTGTAATGGATGTTTTTATAGTATTTGCCAATCATACTTTTCCTATTCACCTCAGGCAAAACATGTTCTTTATACAGTCACAATGGTTTTTTTTATGAAGTTAGATTTCGATAGCTTTATATACCAGTAGGTAGATGTAATGGAAGGCAGGTTAGCGTAAGAGAAATATAAGCTGTACAGAATCGAAACAAGGTGGTTATTGGTCGTACATGTAGGGCGCAGTAGTTACT